TGGTGCTTAGTTGCTGGCTGGGGCTAAACCACGACATGATGGCAAAGGAGAGCAGGCAGTGTTATAAGTTCTGCGAATACTTGTTTTTATGAGCCCCATCCTGTCTGGAGGGACTTGTATCGCTGTGCTTGATGAGGCTGCTCCGCTGGGAGCCGTCTTTGCTTCTAGGAAAGGAAGGAAAGAAAATATTTGAAATCCTTCATAAAAATCAGCATTTTAGTGAAGGCTGACTCTATTTTCTGTCTTCTATGACCACTTTTCCTTTTCCCATTAGCAAAACAGCCAGCAGAGAAGGTGGGAGGATCCTAAAAGTGTGGATTAAAGTATATTTCAATCATTCTGGTATTTTTAGACTGTTTGCCTGAAAAAATGCCCCTTTACCTCAGCAACTGATGGAAGCCATCTCCACTCAGCCAGTATCTTTGAGAAGCGGTGGAGAGTGATGGGTTTGCAGAAACAAGACAATAGGGTTTCTTATCATTAGCAGGGTAAAAGGAGGGAACTAAGGAACCATAAACTAGTCACCTTCAAATCACAAAAAAAACAGTGGGACATTTAATTGAAGCAAGAGATGAGTAATAACCATGGCCATTGCCAAGAATGAATAATTTCAGATGAGTCTGTTTTCCTTCTGTGTCAGATTCCAGCCCTTGGTTCAACATTATTATTCACTGTTCCTTCATCAATAACTTATGTGTTGTAATGGAGAATGTGCTTATTAAATTCTCAGGTGTGCCTGGGCTGGAAGGGCTGAGAGCACCCCAAAGCACCAGGTTAAAATTCAGAATGATCTAGACAAGTCAGAGAGATCGGTTCAGTATGGAAAATCTGAATTTAGGAAAGAGTAACTGTCCAGCCACAAGGAAAACAAACTACTTACACAGCACTTTTTCAGCAAAAGACCTATAGGCTGCACCAATCATGAGTTATGCTATTGGCATATTGAATGCCAATGTGGGACGTATAAACAGAAGAACAGTTTGTAAAACAAACGATGTTTTCCCTCATCTCTCCAGCAAAAGGATCTCTCAGCTGGTGTCCTAAGATCAGCTTCCAGTAATAAACCCATTCTGTATCTTCCCACTGCTTCTCTGCTAAACTTTGAATGGGAAATTCCTGGTAAATTCCCCTAGGATCCTTGACCTCATCCAGAAGTAGGCACTTCTGTGTCCCTTTCCAGGACGTACTCTCTAGGGCCATGACTTTTTATCAGATGCTAATAAGAGTAGTACCCAAGCTACCTGGACAACGCTGGTTGCAGCCCCTCAAGAGACTGGTAAGTGTTGTGATCAGGTAAGTCATAACCATCAAGCTTGTTTCCTGATGTCATTTTAGTTCCTCTTTCAGTAAAAATGAGCTCTGAGATGCCACTTGCCTTGGTGGCTATCATATAACAAAATACTGTAGTGTTCTGCGGGTATTTGAACCATAGATACTTTGTCCATCAAGAATAAATGTTGATGAGTGACAAGAAAGGCTTCCAGATAGTGGAGACATCAGAACAGGACTTTGTGTCACCTGAAGATGTTCATCGTCCTTCTTCCCCTGAAGGTGCCTACTGTGACTCTGCCTCCTGCGTGCTGCCATGGCCTGGGTCAAGGGGCTTTGCCCCCCAAGTCCACCTCCTCCACATCACCTGGTGCTATTTTGGGCTGCCGCTGCTGTGGCAATGCAGAGATTGCCTCCACCTCATCAGCACCCAGGCTGCAGCAATACCAGCTGCAAAACCAACCTAGGCAGGCAGTGGGAGAAATATTTGACCTGCCCTGCTCTAGACCACTGCTGCTGTGCTGCTTGCAGGTCTTGAGGCAGCTGGGCAGGAACGCAGGCTCAGGGAAAGCCAACCTGTAGAAAGCCACTGCCAGTGTGTCTGGCCCATGGGGCAGGCTGCGTCCCGGGGCACATGAAGCCATGGCCACCAAGGGATGCCCAGTGAAGGGAGCCCGGGGCTCACATGGCCCTGCGCTATGAGCCAGGAGGCATGGGGTCCCCGGCTGCTGGGGCACCCAGCACTGGAAGGGGGCTGCTGGGGAGGGCTCCTGCACCCCTCCGAGCTGGCACCAGTGTCCCCAGTGTGCTTGGGACCTGGGGCTGGCTGGAAGCCCATCCTGGCAGCCTGCTTCTCCCTGCCTGGAGGCTTCAGCTCAGCCCTGCAGGCAGGACCAAAGCTTGGCCCTCTGCACCCTCTGCCTGGCCCTGATAAAGCACCGCAGCTTGAGGTCCCCATCTTGTGGCAGCAGGGACAAAACTCATCCCAGCTCTTTGGAGCTCAGCGGTTTTTTGGCCAGGGAGAGCCCTGGGAAAGCGCTGCAGAGCCAGGACACTGCCCACTGCCACACAACGTGTCCTGCCTAAGGACATAATACGGTGTGGAAGTGGTTGGAAGTGAAAGCCTGCAGAGGCAGTGGAGACAACTGCCAACCCTTTCCCCTCCACGCACATACCGTCCCCTGCGTTGCTCTTTACACCTTGCCTCTTATGCACATGCCATGTATGTTAAGGACCCTGCAAGTCCTCTGGACCCTCTGTGGCTGGGTTTGGAGCATCCCAAGTCTGTGCTGGATTTGATGCTGGCTCTTCCCAGGGCTTTACACACTAGCCCACACCACCTTGCATACCTGTGTGCCCTGACCCCCCACCGTGCCCCTGCTTCCCCTGAGCTCCTCAGGGAGCAGAGGCTCTCTGTGGAGCAGGCTTGTGCCCACAGATATGTCTGGGTGATGTTGGCTGGAAGGGTGCAACCTGCTCCAACACCCTGCTCTGCGCAAAGGTAGATCAGGTTGATCAGTGATGTTCTGACCAGCTTTGTGTTCCCCTCCTCACCGTGCCCAGGTGTGGTGGACATATGCAGTCATGATGCCTGTGGTGCTTTGCAGGAGAAACCCTGGGAGCATCCCTCTCTCTCCAGAGTCATTTGGGGTCTCTCCTGCCTCTGATATGTTCACTGATGGTGACTGGAGGCTGTGGGGCTGGTACAAGTGTCCATCCTTGCAAGTCCCAGGGAGCAAAGGGGCCCATGGCAACCTCAGCTTGGCTCCATGCTCTGGCTCTGCTGCACCAGCTGCACTGGGCGCTTTCTCAAACCTTCACCCCAGCACCTCCCAGCCCCAGCAGGGATGGGGCAGCCTTACTCAGCACCTGGCAGGTTGTAGCCCCCTGGGACTATCTGTTGCCCCATCTCCCACCACACCCACAGCTGGAGGAGAGCCTGCACACTCCTTTTTATCAGCTGCCTGCAGCCTCCCCCACCACGGCTGCCCCATTGCGATAAAGGCCAGGGGCTGCGCAGACACCAGCACTGTGGCACCTGACACTGCTTCACTGCCTGTGCTCATTTTCCTCCCCTGATACCCCCTACCCCGCTGCAGTTCAGGGCCCAAAGAGCAGGATCTGGGGCTGAGCTCCATCTGCTCCATTTGCAATCCCCCTAGCCTGCCAGCCCCCCAGGAACCCTCCAAAATGACACCCCAACAATGCAACATTAGGTGGAAATGGCAGTCCTATGATGCTGCACAGCCCTGCGTGCTAGGGATGCACAGAAAGGTGCCCTTGCACTTAGAGGTCCTCAGGGTGTCCTCACTGTGCCACCACTCAGAGGGTTGCATGCACCAGGAGCCCCCGTTCCCCACTGTCTCCCACAAGCCCTTCCAGGACAAGATGATCTCCAACAATTTGGCCTGAACAGGGGCAAGAGGGGCACGGGACAAGAGGGGATCCCAGCATGGTGCTCTGGTGAGAAGGCCGGGACTGCAGAGAGCTCCCAAGGGCCAGACTCTGGCTGCTCTCCCTGAGTCTTTCCCCTCCACCAGTGCCTGGAAATGCTCTCCTTGCTCCCAGATGCCCACAGCTGGCAGAGCTGTGTCTGCCTGCCAGGCACCACCACCCAAATGCTGCCTCTCTCAGAGACAGCAAAACCAGAGCCCATTTCCTCTGCATGCCCACCTGGCAAGGGGGAACCCCCAGTTCAGATCCCCAGAGCAGATCCCTCCCACTCCCTTCATGCGGGCAGCAACCAGAGCAGGACGCCAGGGCTGGAGCACAAATGCAACAGATTTTATTTCAGATCATTTGGCTGCTCGCTGTTGGAGGGCTGGCAGTAGGTTGGGTCCAGCTCTAGCCATGGTGCCGCCTTAACGGTACTTGGCAGTCAGCACATTGCCCACGGCACACAGGAACTTGTCCAGGGAAGCGTGGACCTCCGGGGTCAGGAGAGAGGGGTGGTGGGCGGCCACCACCACCAGGAAGCAGTGGCCCAGCAGCTGAAAGGCAAAAGGAGATGGTAAGCAACAGGGTGAGGTGAAGGGGTAGCCATGGGGGTGCAGGAGGGCAGCTGGGCTGATCACCCCTTCCCAGACACTCACTTTGAAGTTGACGGGGTCCACGCGGAGCTTTTGGGCATGGAGGTCACTGAGCTTGGAGAGGGCACCGGCAATGTCATCGATGTGGTTGCAAGCCTCGACCAGTGCAGCCGCCACCTTCTTGCCATGCGCCTTGATCTGAGCAGAGCCTTGGTGCAGGTCGAAGTGGGGGAAGTAGGTCTTGGTCTGGGGGTAGGCGAGAAACAACCTGGGGGACAGAGGGGGTCAGGGACAGATACAGACAGGGACGGATGAGACAGGGACAGGGTCACATAGGACAGGGTCAGTTGTGGATGGGGGCAGATGGGAGAGAGTCGGGGACAGACGGGAGAGGGGATGATGATGGGGATGGACACGTACCTGTCCAGGGCCTCACCGCCTAAGTCTTCGATAGCACCGCCAATTTTGCCGA